TGGACTGATTTATAGCTAATCTTGATTTGGGACTTGTTATTCGAAATCCTTGGTATTAATCACCTACCAAACATATTTTGGGATGTTTCCTAGAATTTTTCTTCATAAATGAATTATGTTCGAGAAATTTTCATTGGCCAAATATTTGAGAAAAGAAAAACGAAAGTGCAAGGCAGATTTGCCTTAGCAAATTGTAGAACTTTAATAGTTTTGTTAACCGACTTCTCGAATGAAATTTTACATGAAATTTGACAAAGAAATAGCCCTTATATGGTAGTGTAATCATACCAAATTTGGTGCCGTTCCGAATCCATTTCGATGCTCAACCAAAGATTCAAATTCTATGTTTTAAACCTGGAAAATGGTCTAACAGTCCCAACTTTTGGGTAACTTTGAGCCGCCATATCTTGGTGCTCAAAACTCCAATTCTTGTCTCGTTTATTTTTTTTAAACGTTGATTATAACTCTAATTGAGTTCCAAATTTTAGAGGCTAGTTCACATTGTGTGAATTTTGCCAAATTTTCAAAATTGGCCAAGAACCAACCCCAAAACTGTCTTGATAGCCAAATCAGTGATTTTAAGCCAAAATTTGAATGTCTTTCATTTTGAGTCATGGAAAAGTGTTTTCTATGAACTTTTAGTACTTTGGAAGTAGTTTCCTACGGTATCAAGTTTTCCAATTTTGGACCTACAGAGAGTGAGATACGATTTTTCAAAGATTGCTTGTGAAATCTAAAATTTCCTAACTTAACGGAAATTGAGGTTTTTGAACTCTCCATTTTTCTTCGATATTGTTTGACCGTTTTACACTTGATTTCAAAGATGAAAAATCAGATTTCCTTATACAATTAAAACCCCACTTTGAGCCTCGATTTACGTGAAATTAAGGTTCATTTTAGGATATCTTCTTAGATTGTACATGAGTGCAATCTTCCTTAGTAATTAGGGATTTTAAGCGATAATGTGTAATAGTTCATTATTAATTGTTCAGGCACTCAAGGAGACCTTCAAAAGGATCTCACGAGAAACGCCTAAACAATCGCTTGTGCTTTGCTTCTTGAACTACTTGGTGAGTGTCAAGTGTGTGAAAACGTGTTACATGTTTTGAAAATGTTGAATCGAGTGTGTACTTTATCGTACTCGTTCTCATTTAAGTGAAGTGTACTTGAATTACTTGACATGAAATACTTGAAGTGAATATTTACGTGAAGTGTACTTGAATTGCTTGAATTGACTTGTTAAGTGAATTAAGTGAAGTGTTTTAATGATTAATTATGCTATGGCTGCATGAGTCGATTGGAGTGAATCTCCTCGACCCTAGTGATACTCATGGGGGACGCCCAATTTTCACTGGCCAACCTTGGACTCGAGTCGGCATGGATTTGGTCGGGTTCCTTGTTGAACCATGAGAAAATATAAGTTTGACCTATTGAGTGGTCTTGCTTGACATACTCGAGCAGTATCGCCTCAAACAAGCGACAGGTGGGCCCGATACAGGGGTATGTAACGGTGAACGAGGACATGATAAGTGAAGTTCTACGGACTATAGCCTACTCCGATTGACGGAGTGTCAATTCGCGGAGTGGAAAATAGCTCCTGAGAGCTCCTATATCTTTGAATTGTTTCTGTTTACTTTTCTAGTTCAAATTGTTATTTACTTGAATATTATTGTTTTACTATATTATTGTTTTACTCGTCAAATGGGATTGTTACTTGAACAACGTGCTTGCATGTGTGTTTTCTTGGCCTCACGAGCAATTGCTCCCCGTAGATTTGTTTTCCTTAACAGGAATGGACATTTTTGGAGAAACCCCTTTGGATGTACTTTTGTATTAAGGTTTAAAATGTAAATGCCTAGACTTTTTTGGTTGTTGTACATTTTGGGGATTGATGTATCTTTTGGATACCTGATGTAAGAATTGGATAGCTGATATATTTTGAACTCGTGGTGTAAGATTTGGATATTCGATTATGGAAGCGAGTTTTCTTTATTTGGCTTGTATTAATCGTTATGTATCATTAAGCGTGAATCGAATTGTCTTGAGTCCTGACGAGAGTTGGGCAGGCGTCCCGCGGATACCCTTTTTCGCGGGGAAGTGAGGGTGTCACAAACAGGCACCCATGGATTGTCAATTTTCCTTGACCAAGCCCTTGTTGGCTCGATTCAATTAACTCCCTGTGACAGCCCCACCTTCCCTAGGGCGAACCAAAGGGTTCGGCGGACCGCCTGCCCAACTCTCGCCGGGACTACGGATCTGAAACATACGAAAATCCAACCAAAAACAAGTAAACTTAGTCTTGCCAAATACATATGCCTCATAAACATGAGGAAATACTTTAAAATATACATTTTAGTAAGTTTACAAATCAAAAGGGAACATTGTATTAAGATACATTTAGGGTTTCCAAATTGTCGAGGAGCTATACCAAAAGAACAAATTTCTAACTAACTCAACTCATCCTTCAAAACATCGAAGTTCCAAAAGATTGTTCCCTGTAAGGAAAACAAGGATAACGGAACGGGGTGAGTTAGAAGCTCAATGAGGTACCAAAAGTATAAACAGTAGAAATCATGAGGAATCACTTTTAAGGCACATATACACATCAAATAAGAGAAATGAATGAACACCACAAATTAAAGGATACAGGTGGCTCTCAGGAGCCAAATCCCCGTTGCAATACTTGATCCAACCTCGTTGACCCTCCGTCAACGTTTAATGAAACACACATGTCCGTAGACCCCGCTTATGTCAAAATTCTGTTCACCAAACATACCCCTTACCGGGCCCGAACGCCAAACAGGAATGGTAATACTCGAGTATACCGGAAATCTGGAGTCTCCAATACCCAAAGATTTTTCAAGAACAAGCACCCATGGATTGTCAATTTTCCTCAACCAAGCCCTCAACCAAGCCCTTGTTGGCTTGATTCAATTGACTCCCCATGAGATTGAGCTTTTAACAGGAAGGTCGTTGGATACACTTCGAAACGACATCGTATCAGGCACAAGTAACAGATTCAAGTATATACAGGAAACAAGTTACACAGGCCGGAGAACGAGTGTGATAAAGTACGCACTCGTCTCTACAAAATAAACGTTCGGTAAAGACATTCAAATAGCAATTTTCAAGTACAGATAACCAGTTTAGCAATAATTCAGGGAAGTGGTACACTCACGGTTCACGTAAAGATACTTCAAAAGTTTTCAACCAACGTATGGCTTTAGTCACAAGAAATCCTAGAATAACCAAGGGAAACAATTATGGTTCCCACAGCCACAAATCCAGTAAATAAAATGCACAAATGAGGCTCAACTACAAGTCGTGTACCTGTCCAAATAATTACTAATGCAAGGGTGCAAAACATGATCCTGGGAACGAAAAGGTAACATGAAGACCTAGGACTCGAACAACCCCAAAAGCCCTTCTTATATATCCCAAACCAAACCAAACTCTAAGAAATCCAGTATTCCAAAATTTGGATAGCATATCCCCTACATTTCCTTACTTTTCCATCCTACAATCAACACCAATGTCATCTCAATCAACCACAATTTCACATACAAATCATAAGCTATAAAACACACCTAATTAGGGTCAGAATACCCTTCAATTTGAGCCAATTGATAGCTCCAAAACCAATCACAATTAAATCCCACATCCATCAAAGATAGTTTCCTTGCTCAAGTCCAAGCCCTAGGTTACAAATATCATGTCAAGCAAAAGAAATTCTATAATTATCAAGTTCCACGCACCTTTCGGCATGATAACTACAACTGAAGCTATACTTATCGGATTGAGACAAATCTTATGGCGTTTCAAAGCTAATACATATACCTACATTTCGTATGAAGGCCTCCAAAGCTAAAACATGCATTTTCAGGGTAAAAAATGGAAATCTCCACGAAAACAGAAAACTGTCCGCGAAACAGGGTTTATGGGCAGTCAATGGCATTTCGGTCATTTCACATGATACAGTACTCCGATTGAGCTGAAATTTTATAGGTAGCTAGCTAACTCAATTACCTACAACTTTTATGTTTTGAGCAAGGGCTAATTCGGTCTCTCTCAAGCATAGTTATTAAAACCAACCCAGACATCAACCCGGCAAGAGAACCGGGTTGACGGGTCAGTGGTTCAACCGGTGGATCACTGGTTGAACCGTTGGGTCACAATATATAATAAAAAATATATAATATAATTAAATAAACATGTAAATTATAATATAAGTACAGAAATTCTTAAATCTTAACAAGTTATAACCTGTTCATACTTCATACTTCATAATTCATTTCACACACATAATCCATCACCATATGTGATCAACAATTCATGAATTCAAACTAAAATCAGTAAATTACACACAAATATAAATGATAAATATAAATTTCAAACCATGAAACATAAGTCATAAACGACCAATTCAATACAACCAAACATAAAGTCATGAACATAAACAACACCACAATTATCACTTGAGTAGTTCACTCTATCTAATGCAAAAACTTATGCAAAAACTGTAAGAGCTGGAGTCAACTAATGCAAAAAAAAATTAGCCACAGAGCTAGAGCAAAAATGATTAACCGCAAGCACAAAGTCAACTAACGGAACAAGGATTAGCTCGCCAAAGTGAACTAATCCCCTTAAGATAGTTAGATTCATCTTTAACTGCATAAAATTATGCTTTGGATACTTATGATTAATAAGCGATGTTATCATTTATTAATAGCTAAGGACTGCAGAACAATTAACTGCTCCAAATTTGGTCCAATATGATTTCTTGAAATCTTTAGCAATGATAGTGTGCCTTCTACCAGCATCTTTATATGTATCGAAAAAGGAACTAGAGAAACCAAAGAACATATTGGTTCATTAATTCTTAATGCAATGAAATTCATCCCAAAATCACAAATTTATGTACACAGTACACACGTATATAATGAAATGATAAGATTTCTTTAGCGGTAGGAAGAAACAATTGCTAATTAATTTTCTGATCATCAAGAACTGGAAACCATCATAGTCCTAAACTCCTCAAAATCAAGCAATCCATCCGAGTTTGTATCAAACATGTTAATCATGCTTTTACAATCTTGGCCTTCACGCTCATCCCACAATCCAAATCTTGACAAAACCTTTTGCAGTTCTTCAATCTCATCTCGGCCAATATGGTTCTTGACAACAATATAATAGAAAATGAAAAATCAATTGAATCAAGACTTGTTGTTAGTCCAACCAGTCTGCGCAGCTTTGATGCACAGGGAAGCTGAACTCTAAAATTGACTAAAGCCAAAAGCCTAAAAATGAGCAGAAAGCTGGACTGCTGAAGCATTACTTGCTTGCTTCACTGGTGCTGAGGTGTGTGCCCAGCTGCAAAGCTTCACTGGCTTACCGGCAACAAAGCTTCCCGGAAGCGGCAGCTTCGGTGGCAGCGGTAGCGGTAGCTTCAGTGGTAGCGGCAGCGGCAGCGGCAGCTTCCTGGAAGAACTTCGAACTTCCAATTGCTTGCCTCAAACTCTCAGAGCAACTAGCAAAGCAAAGGAAAGAAAAATTGATCAAAGCTGCCAGTGCCGACAAACCAACGGCCAAATCCCTAAATGTTCAAAAAGTTCTCAATTCGTTCTCACTTCTCAGAGAAACAAAAAAGAAAAGAATCCCTAAATGCCTAAATCCCAATGACGGCCAAATGCCCGAATCCCTCTTCAATTTTTCTGATTTTCTCTTCTATTTGGCTTAAAATGACGATAATGCCCATGTACTGTGAATGGTCAAAATAAAAAAATTGGGTAAAACGGTAACTACAAAAAAATTGCCAAAACCCACCGGGTTTATTAATAACGCCAGTTCTAGCGGTTCTATGGTTAAACCATCCGGGTCGAGCGAGTCCAAGCGGATTCTTTGCAACTCCGATCTAACTAGGAAACCGGCCCGGTTTCATGGCCGGGTCACCGGTTTGACTGGTTCGACCGCCGGGCCGGGTCGGGTTTAATAACTTTGCTCTCAAGGACGAAGCTCTCAAGGACGAACATGCAGTGCAAAATCAGGGCAGATTACTAACCCTAAGCTGGAATTTGTGCACATAAGCTGAAATTACTTTAGGTAACCAAAACTAGCATACCAAAGCTTCATTTCACCCAATATAAAGCTATCATTCCATGGCAAACCATTACTCATCTCATGAGGGTAGACAAATCACCATAAAAACTGAAATTTCCATAATACTACTTCAAACTATGAAATATGCTCATAAAACTACCAAACTACAACTTTAAACCACTAATTGGCAACTATTAGAAACAAAGAGGGATTTTGCAAGCAAATACCTTGGATCCTCAAGAAAGATGGTGGCTTAGAGTTCTTCTTCCCAAATTAGCTCCACAAACACCTTGGAAACTACCCTAACTAGCACTTTTATGGAGTAGTTAGCGATTTAATCGGTTGGAACTTAAAATTTGGACAAGAATTTGAAGTAGAAGATGATGGTTGCTCTCCCTTTCTCTCCCTCAAAGTTTCGGCCAAGCAAGCTCAAAAAATGAAGAGAAATGTTGGTCAAAATTGATTTTAAGAAAGGTTGGTCAAAGTCCAAGTTCCAATAGTTTTGTGACAAATGGTCCTTTAGGGTTTCAATCCTATCCTTTTGTCTACCAATGGTAATTTATCTAGCTAACCTCTAATTGTCTCCTAGCACCTTGTACAGTAATATTCCTTTATATAAAACTTCAATTAATCGTCAAAAATTTATCGCACTTAGCATACTAGCGGTCCCACGCCCATAATACGCTTCCAACTTAATCCGAACTAACTTATACTCGAAAAATATTTTTACAAACTATATTCATTCACTTATAAAATATCTAAAACAAATTAAGGTAGTAAAATAAAATAAAGAAAATGCATGAAAAGAAATAGAATTAAATGATATAAAATAAGAAAATTTTACAGATCCTCACACTCCCCATGAGGTTGAGCTCAGATTTCACAGGCATAGGAGGTCGTTAGATACAAGCTCCAAACGACATCACATCAGGCACAGGTAACAGATTCAAGTTTATACAGTAAACTAGTCACACAGGCCAGAGAACGAGTGTGATAAAGTACACCCTCGTCTCGTACAGATAAACAGATGGTACAGGCATTCAAGTCGTAAATTTTAAGTACAAATAAACCAGTTAGCAACGAATTATGGGAGTGGTACACTCACCAGTTCAAACAAGGATAACTTCAAAAGTTTCCTTCCAAATGATGCCTTTGATCACCGGCACGTCCTAGAACAACCAAGGAAAACTATTAAAACTCGATTGCGAGTCGTATGCCTATCCAATGAACTACTTTCATTCGCAGGCAAAGTGTTACGAGTCGTATGTCATAGTAAGCAACAGGGTGCTAAAGGTAACAAGATAACAAGGTAACCAGGCAACAAGTGAAATCATGACACAAGTGATTTTAAGGCTTTAAGACTCAAAGGTAACAAGATACAAATTTGCCTTTCAAACCAGAATTTTTGCAGCCATGACACAAGTGAAATCATGAGGTTGTTCACCTCCTAATCGAAATAGTTTTCACTCAAATTTAAGCACAAAGGTTTAACCAATATTTGGAACAAGTTTTGGCCAAAACCAAATCATGAAAAGGTTAGAAAACACAAGGTAATAGACTTCGGCTATCACTTGACCAACAAACGGAAATTTCAGCCAACTACTTGGAGGAAAATACCAATGCAAATACTTCCATTTCAACCAAAATTCAACATCTAAGTAAAACTTATAGATACACCAAGCATCTTAAGCAAGTTTATCACCAAATCGACCCAAACTTGAAGGAATCAAGTAGTCCTAAAATTTTGGACAGCATGCCCTTTGTATTTCGCTATTTTCCAGCCATTTATGGCTTCATTTTTTCCTCAACTCAGCCCAATTCAACACATAAGTAAACTTAACACAATAGCTCTTCAACTAGGCTCAATGGCATCCCATTACAAGAAAAGTCTAACAATGCGACCGGAAACAAATTTTAAAGACAAATAGCTAAACAATAGATTGGACGTCTTATAGCATTTTGGTCACAACTGAAGCTACGCTAATCGGATTGAGGTACACTTTATGCCGTTTCGAATCTAAGACAGAGAACTACATTTCCTGTGAAGACATCAACACCCAAATCGTGTATTTTCAAGGTCAAAATGTGCAATCTCAGAGAGCACAGAAAACTGTCCACGAAAAAGGGCATTCAGCAGTCAGGAGTATTTTAGTAATTTCACACGCTACAATGCTCCGATTGAGCTGAAATTTTGCAGGCAGCTAGTTAACTCCATTCCTATAATTTTCATGTTTTGACCTAGACCTGATTCAGCCTCTATCATACTCGGATATACAGGTTAGAAATAGGACAGATTCTTCTTTAAATTCCTTTACCTTCCACCTTACAATCCATCACCAATCTCAACTCAAATCAACCACAATTGCACACACAACACATAAGTTATAAAACACACCTAACTAGGGCCACAATACCCTTCAATTTGAACCAAGTGATAGCTCCAAAACCAACCACAATAAAGCCCCAAATTGAAACCCTAAAGCTGAAATTTAACCACGCAAGTTGGAATTTTTCGTAAGCAACCAAAACTAGTATATAAAAGCTTCATTTTACACATAGCAAAGCTATCATTCCATGGAAATTGCTCAAGCATCAATTAAGACCAGAAAATTTACCAAAAATCTGAAATTTCCCAAGTCACCACTTTCTCCATGAAATTTTCCCATAAAACTACAAAACTCACAACTCTAAACTACTAATTGACAATTAATTGAAGTAGAGGGAAATTCTGGACAAGGTTACCTTGTTCCTCCAAGAAAGCTAGAAGCTTGGTGCTTTCCCTTCCAAAATCACTCCACCACAAGCTTTAATCTTCCCTAAAGAGCAACTTATATGGAGTAGTTTGCAATTTAATCGGTTGAAACTCAAGATTTGAGCAAGAAATTGAAGTGGAAGTTGAAGGATTTTCTCTTGTTTTTTCTCTACAAGGTTCGGCCAAGAAGGGATGAAAAGTGAGGAAAGCTTGGTCAAAATTGGTTTTAAGAAAGTTAAGAAACCTTTGGTCAGGTCCAACTTCGAATCGGATCGCGACACTTGGCACCTTGAATGTTTAATCTCATCCTCTTGCTTACCAATGTTTAATTACCTAGTTAACCTCTAATTATCTCCTAACACCTGATAAAATAATATCCCTTAATCCAAAACTTTACCTAGTCGTCAAAATTTATCGCACTTAACGCACTAGCGGGTCCCATGTCCAATATACACTACTAATGTCACATGAACTAACTTATACCGGAAAAATATTTTGAAAACTTAATTCTCTTATAAAAATAGCTAGAAAATTAATATAATAAAGGAAAGTATAGAAAATGTATGCATGGAATTAAAATAATGGCTAGAAAATAAGAAAATTTTCGGGTTCTCACAATTGCCGTTACCCCTTTAGCTTCGCATATGCACGCCAAGTACGTTTAAGCAGCTGGAATTTGGAATGGTACACACACCATTGGTATGATCTGCCCAGCACATCGTTCAAGTGAAAAGCAAGGCGCATCTAGTTTGCGCCGGATAAAGAGTCTAGATCCCATTTCCCTAATGTTTTCCACTCCACATACTCAATACAAAGCCTATGCTCCATTGCCTCGTCCCACTAAGCCTTAGGAATGCTATGGTCACGTCGCATCTACCACGAAGCGAACTAGTAAGAATTTGTAGCCACATTCAAGTCCAATCAATTCAAAGTCGTACCAACGGTAAGAAAAAATTCCAGGTAAAAAAACAATACAAGTTAGACTTTAAGGGTTAGTAGCATCTAAGTAATAAAGCACTTCAATATGATCAATAATTCCAAATACCGAGAATACATCCTCATGATTCAACAAACTAATGTCAACAAGTCCTTACAGTTTTTGGCACCCTTAGCATTTACATGACAAAAACAAATATTAATTTATTATGACAAGGTACTTACAATCTTCGACGAGTCCTTACAATCTTCAAAAAATTCCACAAATTATTACAAAGTACCACCAAAATATTTCATAATTCCTTCAGTGCTTCAAATTTAGGTGCAACTAGGTACTCACCTTGAGGTAGTTGTGAAGATACTCCAGGTAATTGTTGGAGTCTATTAGGGAATGGAAAGAAGTGGTCTCGTAAGTCTTTGATGGAGTTTTCGGCCTGGACTGGTCTTCCTTTGCTTCGGTTGCATCTACCACAGGTTCTTGAACACTTGCATCACTATCAACAATCATACAGTATCCGTGTGATAGCCCCACCTTCTCTTAGGGCGTACCCCAAGATTAGCGGACTATCTGTCTAACTCTTGCCAGGACTAACTAATTCAAAATTTCCATAGGTACTAAAACGAACAACATTATTTCAAAACACTGCAACCCAAAGTTATATATAATTCAAGCTTAAAGTACAAGTCAAAGTATTCAATCTTATACAAATACATATAAGGTTTACTAATACAGAGGAGATTAAACAAAATGTCTAAAGTCCAGAGCTAGCTCAACTCTTCCCCAAAAATCACGTTCCCAAGGTTTCGCCCCTTGTAAGGAAAACAAAGGTGATAAAGTGAACTTTCGCCCATTGAGGTACCACAGGGTCACGTAATCGAAAATCACGTAGTTGAAACTTTAAACTATCAAATATACGCATCAATTAGGAAGATAAGTAAACACCACAACTAACATAGAGTGCTTCAAGTAAAAGGATACAGTTGGGTCTCAGGAGCCAAATTCCCAGTCGCATTAGCTTGATCCAAACTCGTTGATACTCCGTCGACGTTTAGAGAAGCAAAAATATTGACCGTAGATCCCCGCTTTACAACAGTTTCCGTCCACCAATCATACCCCTTATCGGACCCGAACACCAAACAGAAACAGTGGTGGTAATACTCAAATATGCCAAATATCAGAAGAATCCAGTACTCAGTAAATCAGTGACAATTTTCCTCATAATCCATCAATCTACCTCGACCAAACCCTTGCTAGCTCGATTCGATTAACTACCAATGAGGTTTGAGCTCAAATTCACAGTAAAGTCATTGGATATTAGACTCCAAATGACATCAAATTCATGCACAAGTAACAGATTTCAAATGAATAGTAGACCAATCAAACAATCAA